GGGAGGGGAGGGGAGGGGAGGGGAGGGGAGAGGAGAGGAGAGGAGAGGAGAGGAGAGGAGAGGAGAGGAGAGGAGAGGAGAGGAGAGAGGAAGACAAGAGAAAGTGCACTCTTGATGGTCTCCCCCTACCCCCACCACGGAACTAGAGCTAAATTTCACACACCTGGAGCTTCCCTGGGTTAGGAAAATGAGAGTAGAGTTTCTACACAGCATTCTGTGACTCAGAAGCCATGACTTTCTTCAGATAGCACTGCACACTCCACACTCTTAGGATAGAGAGCTTACAGACTGAGTTTTGTGTCATTGATCAAACTTGGATAGGAGGAGCGTTGGGCTAAGAGGTCCTCTCTCTGTGAGGACCGTTTAGGAACTGAGGGAAAGAAGCCAGGAGTGTCCCTAACTTACCCTTTCATGAACAGATTCCTGATCCCCCCTTAAAAACCACCTCGGACTTTGAGGGACAGAGGACAGAGAAGAGTGTGTGTGTGTGTGTGTGTGTGTGTGTGTTTGTCTGTGTATTTCCTCATGCCGGTGGTGCCATCTGCATTCCTAAGTCCAGCTTTTAGTGTTTTTAGCTTTTGGCTTTTTATGCAATGCTATCCTGGGAATTTTTGATTTTAAAAGCTTCACTTTTAAGCAAGTTTGGTTGAGCTTCCCAAAGAGCCTAGGGTTCTGGATTGAGGAGATTCACTGTGAACTTTTACTTTTCAGGGGACCATTACCACCTCCCAGCAGCAGTGATCTGCCCAGCAGAGTCCCGAGCGCTCCCTGGCTTCCCTCCAAACGTGCATACTCCCCTCCTACATGCCACCGCTGGGCCCATATGCCAGCAGTGACTCCGCTTTTGAGATGCTTGTGACGGAGAGGGAAAAGGCCATGGGGAAAGCAGGCAACTGTCTGCAAGCACTGTCTGTCTTCACGCTCTGAGGCCTGAACAGAACTGAGGGGACATCATGAGTACAGGCAGGGACCCTGTACCACGAGAGTGGTAAGAGGCTGCTATGGTCCATCCGTGCTGCCCGTCACCCCTTCCCCCATGTGTAAGTCCATGAAGGAGATTAGCTTTCAAACCTGGTCCCTGGAGATACAGCTAAACCTCCTGGCACAGCAGAGGCAGACTCTACCCTGTCCGTGCTGCACTTTCACGGAGAGCAGATGGGAAGACACCAAGTCAGGTTCACTCCGTGGAAACAGCTTAGAGATGCTGGGGACTGGAGAGTGACTGCTGAGCCACCGGGGAAACTCAAGCAGGATGAGGAGCCAGGGTGGCTGCCTGCTGCTCCCCAGAGGCCTCCTCAGACGTCAGGCACTGTCGGCCAGCCTTGTAGATGGACCTGCCCTGGACGGGTGAGTGGAACTGCCTCTTGAGAAGCCCTTACCCGTACCTTCTAGTACACTGTCCTGTACCTTCTAGTACACTGTCCTGTACCTTTTAGTACACTGTCCTGTACCTTCTAGTACACTGTCCCTTAACTCCAGTCCCCAGCAGCCAGGTGGTTTGACCACTTCAGCACCTCCACTTGGATGGCCAGCAGGATTTTCAATTTGGCATCCCTAACCAATCGCCTTGTACCCAGTGTCTCCCCATCACCCAGGCTTCTCTTTATCTTTACAGATACCAAGCTCCTGTGGGTTCTGTTTTGGGGGTCACAGACTTTAGCAGCCTTGACAGCCTCACAAGGTGGTAAAGCACCAATGGACTGCCAGGTTCGGCAAAACTAATTTTCTACAGCAGATGCCAAATGGGCACTGGGGTTGATAGAAAAACTGCTTGGAGCCCAGAGACAGAAGTGAGCCAGCAGGCTGGGATGGGTAGGGGCAGCTTCAGGTGAGAGGCAACAGGAAGATCCTGGGGATAGGAGACATACATAAATCAGGGGGTGCACAAGATGGACCGACCACCCTTGGAAGCATCATGGGCCTGCCTACCAGGCCAGCACTGACCTGCACTCAGGGCACAAGCCTGAGAGGCCATGTGAGTGCTGGAAGTGAATGAGGGGTTGCCCCTCACGTCCCAGGCTGGAGCTGGAGTCCCAAAGGAGACTTTCCACACCCTGCCACACAGGCCTGCAGTCAGCTTGGAACCTCTGATGTTTACTTTGTTCTTTCCCAAGTTCAAAAGGAGCTCACAGCCCTGCACACCAAGCCAGCCTTAATCTCCTGCTTCGCTCCCAGCTGGCCAGTTAAGGCGGCTAAGACTCAGGATTAGGGGCAGCTTTACAGAACAACCCAGGAGCCAAAGCCCTCCTCTCCGGGGATGGCCAGAGACTCCTTTTCATCTTCACGCCTCACATGGCCCTTTTTCTCCCTTAAACAGCTCTCTAGCAGCCAAGAGGCAATGAACTTGGCCAACAGAAAAACAAAGACGACATTTAGGAACCAGTTTTCTCCCCTAGCCAGGAGCACAGAGGGATACCACAGCCCCAGATCCAGCAGGTGTACGGCTGTGTGGGCAGGACTCAGGGGCCTCTGTCCTTGACAGTGTGCCATGCACAGCCACATCCCTGCCCTAGGGCGGGCTTGGGCCACTACAACAGGAGTAGCCGGAGAATCTCAAGCGGGCAATGTGTCCAGGACTCTTCCAAGGGTCTCAAAAAACGGACAGGGTCCTTGCTCTCCTGGGCTGCTCAATACTGGCCAGGTTCTCTTCCCATAAAGAGTGACAGGCAGAGGGAAGCCTTCTCTGCTTTTGCCTGCCATAGTCATGGGAAGTCAGCTGAACCACGTGGGCAGTCCACAGCAGCAGGCATTAGCTCTCACTCTTACAGATAGGGACACAGGCATTGCCAGAAAAAAACCCAGCAGGCTAGAGGCTGGGTCCAGGCCACTGTCACTAGCTCAACAGCATGGCACTTCTACTGGAGGAAGGAGGGGTCTTGCATAAGGGACCAGAGGAGAGAGGCAAGAGGCCAGAGGCAGGCTGGGTGTGATTATGCTAGGGCACCACATAGATGGTCTTGGGGAAAGAGCTGTCATGTGCAGTATCCACACGGACACTCACTCATTATCACCAACCACCATAGGTGGGTAGGCCTGTGATGGCCTGCCAGAAGCCTGGTAGCTTCCGAGCACAGGGTATGGGTAAAACCCTGGGTACTGGGAGGGGTTTCACATTCTCTGCCTACCCCTTCTGGGTTCTGTGGGCCTTCCCCCACCCTGGTACCACAGACAGCACTACTAAGCCCCACATACCTTCTAGCTGGAAGTCCTCCTCGTCCTCCTCACCAAGTGCCTCTCTGGAAGTGTCACCCACGAGCTCCTGGGGAAGACAGAGCAACGGGTTACCAGACGGTGGGGCCCAGCAGAAACCCACCTGGCTAGATGGACAGGTAACCCTGAGCACAAGATACCAACCAGACTGGATAGACCTAGTCATGTGAGAGTACAGTGGCTTCTCAGTGCCCAGGACCCACCTAGGACCCACCTCTCCTAGAGACCAAGCCCACTCTCCCACTGGAATGTCAGGTAAGATCAGTGTCCCTTGTGCAGCCCCCTCCCTGTCTAGCCAGCTTCACAGCCACAGACTCAGAAAGCACTCAGTCTAGATTCTTCCTCCAGACAACATGGGGCCCTCTCTGCTCTCTTCTCTGGTAAATCTCTATTGCCCTCAAGGCCAAACGTAGTGCCAACACATTGGCTAATGCCCTGGGCTTGTAGGCCATGACTCCAGCGATCCTCCCTGGGGCTTCCACGTCTTGCCCACGGTCTCATTTTCCCACTACCCTGGCCTTGGCCCATGCCTGATCTGTCCCCTCCAGAAGCTGATGATGTTTGGAACCAATGTGGCAGGGGTCCTTCCTAGCAGCCTTGTCAAGCTGCCGTTTGCATACTGTCATATTGGCAAAGGAAATTTTGCTGTCCTACAGGCTAGGAAAAGTCTGAGATGTGGAGAGAGACTAAAGCCCCAGCTGTCTGACTCACCCCAGCAGACGAGAGATACAGAAAGATTAGACTGCATCTTGCAAAATGGCTTCTCTATTTATTGGTACTCAGCCAGGAATTTTGAAACCTAAGATTATTTAGATAAAGTTAAACAAGACCTTTTAATGTGAGACTTCTCAGGGCCTTCACCACAGTTATCAACATAGGAATCTCTGCTCTATATATTGCAGTGTGGGGCACACATCCCAAGGGCCCAGTTTGGAAAACACTCCTCTTAAAGAAAGAAGAGGTCATGGAGGGGTACGCCATATTCCCTCTCCTAATGTCACAATGGTTCATCTGATGATGCCTCTAAAGTCCAGCAAATAACAAACACTGAAAAAGCCCAAACACACCAGCTGCTACCAATGCCTCATTGTGACCATAAAAACCTTGGCCTTGGCAACACTAGCAGAGAATACCAACCACCCAAACTCGGCACTTCGGATGCTTAAAGAACATCCAGGGCCGCCTTGACACGGCATAGCAAAGAATGCTGCAAATAGTGGGTGCTCACTGGATAGAGCCACAGGGTGGCTTCTAATCTTTTATTTTAGAGACAAACAGCTCTCTGTGTGCATGCAGCCTAGACCTTTCTAGGCACTCCTTCAAGGTGGCTGAAACGTGACTGCTCCTGCTCTTGCGTCCCATTTACTTCAAACCCCGGTGGCTTCCTTCACTCCCTTTCTTGTCAATTATCGTAATCACTGAACATTTCCCAGGCTTGTAACCTGGCTGTTTGTGTTAACAGAGTCAGAGTTGACAGGGAGTCTGGAGATAGTGACAGGCAAGGTACACACACAGGTGGCATCATCAGATGGCGGGGACACCCCAGCAGCCAATTAAAGCCCCACTTTCATGCGACAAAGAATGCTGCCATCTCTTCAGCCCTGAAAGGCTACAGGCAGTGCTTGTGACAGGAGCAGCAGCAGGCCTGAAGGGGACAAAGGCCTTCACGCTGGGTCCTCTAGGAGAGAGTGGGCTCGGCACTGACCCCAGTAGCCCTGACAGCACCACAGCAAGGAGGCTGGCAATGACGAGTCTTTGAGGTCCTGTGACTTTCTACTGGTGTTACTGCCAGATCACCCCAACAGTGCAGCCACGGAAGCTATCTGCTGATACTGCACACCCACCATCAGCACTGTGAATGACGGGTCTTGCACACCCGCAGAGGGTGAGCTCACACATAGTATATGCTCTGCAACACGCTGCAGTGCTCCCTGGGCCACTCCGGGGTCTTGGCATAAACTGTTCATGGTCTCTAGACCCAGGAAATGCAACATGGGGAGCCAACCCTGGGTCAGGCCCTGGCTTCTGGGCTCTCCTAGCATTTGGACTCAGGTGAACTTACACTACGGAGAGACCGTGAACACTCACTGGACACTTCCTTCATGGCAGGCAGTGCTGCCATGTGGTAGATAGCCTACGCTGGCCACCACAACAGTCCCGCTCTGCCCAACTCGCGAGCAGTGAGAGAGTACTCGGAGAGCTTGTCCGGCATGTCCAGCCTGTGCAAGGCCCTGGGCTCCACTCACAGCAATGCAAAAATGGAGGGGATTGGAAGGGAAGGAGAAAGGAAGGGAGTGAAACCCTCTCTACAGTAAGTTTCAGGCCAGCCTGGGCTACACCTTACCTCAAACAATGCATAAAACAGGGCCTGGCCACCAGCTCTGGTGGCCCAGAGACTAAGGGTTCCAATCTACCCAGTGGGACTCAGGAGCACAGCTAGCTCCTCCTCTGTGGTTTGGGCTTGGTCCTGGTTCCCGCCTGGCCATAAGTTCCTTCCACATGGCCACAGACCTGTAGCCTCCTCCTGCAGGAAGGCAGATAGGTGCTGTGGAAGCTGCACACTAAGACCTCACAGCTGTAGTGAGCCCCATGGGGCCTACAGCAGAGAGGGCACAGAACTGGGCTCAGGCAGTCAGGGGTGGTGCAAACACAGCTCACTGCACAAGCTAAGTCTAGAAGGTGCAGCTCAGCCTCCCATGTGCCTTGGCTCCCCCTCCACAGATACAGCCCACAGGGCAGTTTCAGAGTGACTCTGAGAGACAAGGGAGTGTTTGCCTCCATGCTGGAAGATCAACCAGCAGTGACCATTCATTGCTTCCTCTGTGTTCACCAACAAACAACTATCAGTACGTGCTGGAAATGCTGGGACTGACCAGACCCAGCTGTCCTCCCATGGCAACCACTGTGGGGTATGCTGTTATTATACCCACTCTATAGATGAGAAAACCAAGGCAGAGCAGTCTCGTGACTTGCCCAGGCCAGAGAGAGGCCGACCCTTACCACTACACCTTCTTGTAAGAGGCCTGAATCTGGGGCTTAGACAAAGGACTATCTAATGCCTAGGACCCAGGGCCTAGGCCCTGTCTCCTCTGGCTTCCAGGACTGTGGGCCTCAGACTTACTCCAAGTTCTGACTAAGGCTAGAGCCTGGCTTAGTATTCTGTCAGGACACGTGGCCTTCATGAGCCTTTAAAGTCCCAGTGCTGTCCCTCGGTTGCCCCTTTGGAGCCCAGCCTCTACCCCTCCCTGGGCCCCAAGAAGAGCAACCTCTCCGGTCACTGGTGTGCAGCCCGCCAGTCCCGAGCTAAGAGGCACAGGCACACTGCCTTATAAGGCCTCCGGGACGGAAAACCACATCAAAGTGGGGCCTTGGGGAGTGTTGGCGCAGGCTAGGGATTTTCCTCTTTGTCATTGGGGCTTCATGCTCCTGAACTCAGTCTCCCCCACGTAAGGCCCCAGCAGGTCTCTGTCAATCTTTCTGTTCTCTAAGAGGTAACAGATGTGGGTGCCACACATTTTTTAAGCAAACTCTTGGTGCCCACAGAACGCGGTACCATGTAGACTCAGGAATGCACAGGACTGAGACTTTGCAGGAAGAGGGGCACAGCCCAGGCCACCCCAGAACCCTCAGATCCAAGCAGCCTGTCCTAGCTAGCCCCTGAAGGAAAGCACAGCAAACTCTTTCTTCCACGAACTCTGCAGACACAGCCCAGCCTCGCTAACAGAATGCTCCACCTTCTGCTGTCAGAGGCAGGGCAGGGCTAGTCCAGCTTGGGCTCAGCCCCTCTCCACAGCTGAGTGGCAATAAAAGTGTCACTGAACTTGACCGCTCCATTCTCCTACTTTAATTTTTTTTTTTTTTATGTCAAAGAGGAGGTAAGGAAAAGGGATCAAAATGTCCAGGTGGCATCTGATATAAAGTTAAGAACCTCGATCTCAGTCTCCCCCGTTTTTCTGCCATAGCCTCCTCTCGTGTGTGCTCTCAAATGTCCTCCTGGTCCATCCTGATAATCAGTCACCTAGTTCCCAGCAGCTCTACCCTCTCTGAGAGCCCATTTAAGTTCACTGACATCTAGGGCCAAGAGATTCCCCAATGCTAACAAAATATACAGTGTGGGTCTTCCCTGTGGGGTGGTGGGACTTCTCTGCTTGCTACATGGAGCATAGCCCACGGAGAAGCACGGGAACACATGCAGGGGATACAATGCCACTATTGTGCACCTAGGAAACAGTGACAGTTATAAGGGACCATGTGGCACTCAAGAGGCCAGAGAGGGTATGGAAGGGATGCCCTGGCCACAGACACAGAATCTCAGTCAAACACCTAGCCTTGAGAGAATCCTTCGAGCGCTCAGAGATGAGACAGTGGTCCCTTGGGCTCCATCAGGGCTGATTCCAAAGACATCCACATCCTAGGGCTCTGAGGGCATCTGCGGAGCCCCAAACCTCCCTCGAAGTCTCTAAGCCATCTCTGGATGGCTCTCAGTTCCAACAAGTGCAGCTGTGTAAGCAGCTGTCACACTGCTCTGTTTAGAGAATGACAGCCAAGAAAAGAGTCTGTACTTGTTCAATACAAAGGTTGTTTTTCCCATGTGTATCTTCTACGGGATGAATGGGTGGGTGTAGAACCCACAGCCACAGAGGGCCAGCTGCACATCCACGTGTCGCCCGGGGAATGAAATCCTGACTTCACAAGACCGCAGATGATGGCCCACTTCACAGAAGAGGGACCTGGAGTTCAGACAGATGGAGAGAAGGGTCCAAGAGATCACAGAGAAGAAACAGCAGCGAAGGCTGGGGTCCTCCAGGCCCAGGAGGCTACGACCTCCTGGTTACAGGACTCCTGGGGCATCTAGCCACCAACACCATCAGCAGCTGATTGTTCTTCTGTGGCACATGAAGGGAACAAGAGATGGGGAACCAAGGCTGCTCACCACCCGCGGCCTCTCTCTGTGTCTAGCACACACCACGAATCTGGGCCTCTGCTCTCTCAACTCCCCAGACTTCTCCGGCCTCAACCCATCTTACTCATGAGCACCATAGGCCATAG